AATTCTGTTTACTCACACAATGAGAGACTAAATTTGTAACTTGATTGGCCATTTTCTCTCAAAAAAAGAAATTTTACAAGTTAAAATTCTACTTGTTTTAAAATTTTATTGAAAAGTTCGAGAAAAAAAAAAGGAAGTATTTTAAATTAAATTAACAATTGTATTTGTAAATTACCCTTTAAATATTTTTGAAAATAAAAACAGTAAAGGATTCATATTTTCAGAAATTGAATTAATTTTAGCTGATCTAATAAATCAAAAAAAACATTCTTTAAAGGAAATCAAAAAGGTTTTTTCTGTCCATTACAGAGATGTCATTTATGATGTCATTGTAACATCATGACTTATTACGTTAAAGTTCGATAAACTCGAGTTTAGTTATTTTTACATTAGATATACTGCAGTTCTTTTCCCCCAGAAATGCATCAAAAATTTTATTAGGCTGAACAATCTTTAATGCTAGAATTAGTTACAGAGCATAGTCATTATTTATTTTCATTATTTGGTAAGACTTTACAAGCAATATGAAAATTAGGAAGATGATCAAAAAAAAAATCAGACTAAAAATGTGAGAATTTTAGTTTTCATTTAAAAAATTGTTTATTAAAATATTGTCAATGGCGATTTTATTTTATTTTATTATTATTTTTTATTTTTTGTATGTATTTAGGTGCTCCCAGAAGTCCTTGCGTTCTTATCATAGAGCACCGCGGGAGAGCATTTAACAGGAAGTTCACGCCTCCTTCCGTACCAATGTCGCTTGTTGGGCTAGAGATGGCGTCAAACCTCGGACCTCTAGGTTCTGAGCCAGAACTCTAACCACTGCGCCACGGCTGCTCACGGCTGCGCCACGGCTGCATTTTAATGTTATTATTATTCAATTAATCCATCGAAAATAGTATTTTACATTTTTAAACTTTTCATAAATGACCGCCAAATAAAAACATGCTTATTTTGTTGGCTCCATTTCTAACGTGATAATTCTAAAGTAATTCAGAGCAAAGTGATAATTCTAAAGTAATTCAGAAAGCAGCTTGGTGTTCTAACTCACTGTCGCATGGCGGCATTTAAATATATATATATATAAAAATCATAGGATGGCGGTCGATATAATGGGATTACCGGTTTTATTTAAAATTTCTATAAACAAAGCTTCATTATGCTAGTTCGACTTACTGAATTTATTTTTACTTTAAACTTAAATTTGGCAAGAGTACACAATGCAACACCATTTCCCTTTTCTTTTCTGTTGACGCTTACTTACAATATTATAAAAGATTTTACTTTACATTACTTCAAAAGCTTAATGATAACGAATAATAAAAAAAAAGCAATTAAACTTTTTTTTCATTAAACGAATAAAAAATTTTGTTATTAGATCTACCATTTTCAAACACGCGCGTTATATATATTTTCTTTTACGTTTACGCGTATTTTTCAGATTCATAGAACTCATAGCTCAAACAATTATTATTTATTTCAATTAAAAAATGTTATTCATTTTTATTAGTTATGAAATTTTTGGAAAAAAAGGAAGTTTGATTATTTTTTATTGATAATGAGCCTAGAAGAGAAATGTTTTTGCCCCTTGACAGAGTGATATAAAAAACTGTAACAAAATTTGAACAGTTTTATGTTATTGCTGAAAAAAATTATAATCTTTTGATTAATAAATACGAATTTTAAATTCTGGGTGACCATGATGACATTAATAAAGAAAAGTTCCTCCTTGAAAAGAAAAAGCTTAAAAGTTTTATGCCGCCGCATCACAAGACAAAAAAAAAAAACATGATGGTGGTCCACTTGAACCTTTGTAGTTTATTATAAATTATAGTCTTGAAAGCTCCGTTCTTAATATAGTTACATAGTTAGTTGCTGTAAGTGTGGATAGTTGTGAGACAGGTTTTTCAAAACTAAAATTAATAAAAGGTTTTCTTAAATCTACAATGCATACCCTACGCTCAAAAAACCTTGTCATACAATTCATTGAGAATAGAAGCTGAGTAATAAATTGACTTTGAAAGTCTCACTAATAACTTTACTTACAAAAAAGCCAGAAAAATAAACCTTTAAAATGTTGTAACAAAGTCAATTTTTGCTAGATATATAATCCTTTATCTAAATAATCGTTTTGATAAATATAATTATTATTCTTTTTATGGGGGTAGTGAAAATTAGGTTCCGCCTCGGGTGGCATTAACCCTTGCTACGCCTCTGATCTGTGGTAACTGGTTTTGCAATTTCTAGGTCTTCATAAAAAGGTTCATACTTCCAAAAATTATTTCATATGCCGTTTTGAGTTAACTTAAACAAATTACCAAGCCATTCCTAATAAAATAAAGTTAAAAATTTTTATTACAAATTTTGATAAAAATATATATTTACAAATATATTTTTACTAAAATGACAAAATCTAAAACTGTGATCAAAGAAGAAAGGCTCGCTTTATAAATTTAAAGTTTTCGGTCATTATTATTAATTATTTGCACTTGTGTTGAAGCTTCTACTTTTTCTGAAATTGAAGTTTCTACTTCTACTTGTTTTACAAAAGTGAACCAAGTATTCAAAAGATTATTTGAAAGTTAATTAGTGGGGTGTAAGTTAAGATCTATAAAATTTAAACTTTTGAAAATGTTGTCTTGGTTCTGCTCCAACTTCATTATGATACCACTAAAATTATATTCAAAAAATTTCAAATCATCGGACTACTAGACCAAAATATTGTAGATATATTAAATATAAAAAAAAATATGTAAATATATAAAAGCAGAAACCACTGAAAGTAAAAAATCTGTTGAAACTAAAAAAATAATGAAAAAATATTATTAAATAAGCTTCAAAAGCTGGTATAGTTTCATTTTTATTTTCTTTATCTGAAGATGCATTCATTATGGCTCTCGGTTTCTTTCTTTGCTCAGTACCCAGTGCACTTTCTATGCTAAAATTAAGCAAAAATATTTTGAAAATTAAGGATTTATTCAGAATTAAAAATGTTAAGAAAATAAGCTTTTTAGGCGAAGATATTCATTTCTAGCCTAAAACCTGGCGCAAAAATTTTTCCAATAGAGCTTTTATTGGTTTTTGCTGGTTAGCAATCAAAAACGTTCTAAAGACGTTCAAAACGTTTAAAATACGTTTGAAAGTCATCTTTTTTACGTCCCGTACCCACTGGGTATATTATAGTTGAAATATTTTTTACGTCCCGTACCTACTGGGTATATTATAGTTGAAATATTTGTAAGATTATGGGTCCTTAATGACAAGTTTTTTTGGGGCCTCCCAACCATTTGCTACTAGATAACTTTTATCATATTATCAGAGTTCCTTACAAAATAAAGGTTAAGTTAAGCAAACTTTTTAATTTATTAATCAAAAGTGATTAATAAATGGTTTAATTGTTCTTTTCCGCTTAGTCTCCTAATTTTTTATTCTTATTTTTTTGTTTTTTGTTTGTTTTAGGTGCCCCAAGAAAACTTAACGGTCTTGTCACAATGCGCAGAAAATCATTTAACTTGGAAGTTCACGAACCTTCCCAACCGATGAAGAAAAACATGCCTAGAGCTTGCTTCAAATCCTGGATCTCTTGTTTCTAAAGAAAGCTCTCTAACCAATGCACCACGGATACTCAAAGGCAAGTTTTCCAAGAAAACCTAACGATCTTACCACAGAGCACCGCGGAAGAGCATTTAACTAGCTTACACCTCCTTCTTTACAGATAATCCATGTATGCTCAGAGCTTGCATTGAACCCTGAATATCTTATGTTTTTAATGCAAGCACTTGACCACTGCGCCTCTGCACCACGACTGCGATATGAACCCAATTAAAGAGCAAGTGTGTTAAAATGAGTGAAAAATAACTCATTTTAACACACTTGCTCTTTAATTGGGTTCATATCGCAGTCGTGGTGCGATATGAAATTTAAAATTGCGTAAATTCATATGCAAAAAAAGTTCTTTTTTTACTTTTTTGATTTTCGTTTCAAAATTTTATTTAAAATGTGTCAATTATGTTTTGTTAACGACTCGTCATAATTAATGCAAAATATTTAAAAAGCTTGATTATTTTTTAAACGTTTAACAATTATTAAGTTGATAACAATTAGAAAAAAATAAAGTTACTCAATTAATGAAACAGAAAATATTTGTGGTAAAGCATTAAATCGTATATAATAGCGTAATCGTTATAATTTTTGATAGCATAGCATATGTTATTATAAAAATTAATAAGAATACGATTTATTTTACCACAAATATTTTCTTTTCTGATGTTGTTTTAATGACTTCATTGAAAAGCTAGAGGCAAGATTATCTCCTATCCTATTTTTTTGGATTACCATGTAATTGTTGTTTTTGATGTTTCAAAGTACAACTTGAATTAAGTAAGCACTTTATATTCAATGTAAATCGTTTAAAATGCAAGATATTAATAAAAAAATGCAAAAACTAAAAAATGAATAACAGGAAATTTAAAAAATTAAAAAATCGTTTTTTGCTTTTTTGAAAAACGATTTTTTTATGACATTTCCATTTTTGACCAAGATTTTCGACCGAAATTTTCATATTTAACCAATATCAGATAATTTAGTTTTCAACAATAGATTATAGGTGACTTTCGTTTCAATCGAGTAATCTGTATTTTAAACGTTTTTTTTAATATTTTGTTCCATAGACGTGGGTTCTACAAAAATTGACTGATTTAGTCATATAGACACAGCGGATTCTGCAAAATTGACTGAGTCACATAAACGCAGCGGATTGTGCGCCTATGATTAAATTAGTCAAAATCATCAAAATCATCGACAACACGAGTTTCGAATGGAAAAAGCAGAATCGTCGATTTCTAAAAAACGACCTCTATAGGAGCACGTGTAGTCGGATCCCCCTCCCCTCCCTCTGGTGTCGCTGGCACTATTTTTTTCAAAAAAAAAACTCTTTCAAAAATTAAAAACTAAAATAAACGTAGTGATTTAAGTCGACCGAAAAATCAGTTGATCAAAAGTGCAATAGATAAGAAATTTGTTCGATTAAAAATACAGTTGGTTGTTGTAGAAAGTCGCAAAAGCCATCGGTTGAAAATCACAATCATCATAATCCACGATTTTAGTTAAAAATTAAGTACATGCTATCGAGTTTTTATTCACTCGAACCCGTCATAACCGTCAGTGCTCGCTGGAGATCATTAAGATTTTAAGAAAAAATATTTTATTGCGGCCTTTTTATTTTTAATAATAATATGAAGATGCAAAAAGTAGGGAGCTTTTGAATTCAACTTTTCAACAGAGTTTTTTAATTCTTCACACACGTGGAAGTTAAATTTTTTAAGTTTCTAATCTCAAGTTCCACTACTTGCGGATATTTTTACTCGTTAAGTCAAAGTTTTAAACAAAGTTTAACTGCTTGAGTTTTACTCGCTAAGTCGTTGCAGTACAAGATAAAGATATGTATACGTGGCAATGTGAAAATTAGAATGGATTTTATAAAACTTAATTAAATAGGGTAAAGACAAATAATAAAATTATTTTTCATTCCATTTAACTTTTTAAACATTTTACTTCTGAAACACTAATTCAAAAAACATAAAAATTTTATTAAACAAAACATTAAATATTTTATATTATAGTCAAGTTAATTGGTAAATTAAATATTTAAGTAAATATAATAAATCACAAAAATATACAATTTTTTATATAAATAGTTTAATCGCCATCATATTATTCAATAATATGTTGTCGACATTTAATATAAATTATGATCTACTCAATTATCATTTTAGATATAAATATAATTTAAAATCAGTATTTAACGGCGTATAAAAAACGATTACTTTTTGTTCACTGTTTGTAAGATAAAACCACGGTAAAATTTAAGTTTACGATAAAGCTTGAATGACAGTTACATACTGTTAGTCGTTATAAAAATATTTATAGAAATTTGCGATTGTGCAAACGACGCAATTTCCTAAAGAAAATATTCCTTATTTAAAATCTAATCAATGACTAGGAACTAATCTTCCGTTACGCAAGCTAATTAGAACAAATATCTCTATTAAATTGAAAAAAGTTTTTTTCTGTATCTTTAAATCTCATTGGTTAACATTGTAAAACTTTTTTGTTTGTTTGTTTTGCGAAATGAATTAGTAAACTGTAACTTTTTTTAGTTTAACGCGCTTCTCCTTCATAGTTTAGACTCGATTAGTTGGTTGACTCTGGTTGACTCTTTAAAACTTTTTAAGACTCTAAAAATTGATTGACTCTTTAAAACAGTTTAAATATTTGTAACGTCGTGCCGTAATTTTTCGGTGATAATTAATTTTAGGAGATAATTAGGTAGTATTTTAGAAAAATGCGGTAGTCCATCTGTTAATAAGTACGCCACCGTCGTCAAAACAATAAATGCTATTATAACAGCGAGTAAAAGATAGTTAGCAAGTTCTTCATGATCATATCTTTTGAGCCTAAAATAAAACATGATTTGAAAGCACGTTTTTATAAAACAAAATATAGTTTTTTTTGGTCAAAATTTATTTAATAAAAGTTCCAACTGTTTTGAGCAATAGACTGTTTTAAAACGGAATAAGATTAATTCCTTTGAATAGGCATTTTTTTTAAAAATTCAATTTGAATGGTTTTAAACTTTTTATTAAAAGGGACAAATTAAAAGGAATAAGAGGGGGACTTCTCTTCGTTCTTTTCTTAGTTGAACAAAATTTTACGAGTTACCTTTATAAGAATTAAAAAATATTTTTTTTAAAAAAAAGTCTAAAAGATATTTAAGCATAGAATTTTTATTTATATATCTCAAACGGCATATTAGCCACTTACTGAAGTCTCAACCAACATATTATTCATTGACTCGAAAGTCTTAAACGGCGTTTTTGAGAGACAAAATGGACTTTTGTTTAACAACAAAAGTTCATTACTTTAAAAAACTCAAAATAAAACAAAATAAAACACCTTTTACCAAAATTGTAAACAAAAGTAAAAACAAACAAGCAACTAAAAACACTTGATCAACAAAAATTATAAAAAAATCACTTACATTCGATTTTTAAGATAAACAACAAAACTTGAATAACTATTTTAAGAAACATACAGTTCACATATATTGCACTTATGTATACATGTTATAGACAAACCGATAAAAGCTAAGTCATACGATTTCGTAAATCTTCAACCAAATAAAACGATAATATTTAATTAATAGATGGTGCCGTAGGGAACCAAAAGCATAAAACTTTTATTGTTAATCAACCGAATAAAAAAGATATGTTCACGTTTACAATGAAAAAATTTTAGAAATTTACAACAACTTTACAATTGCTATTGTTCGGTGAACTCAATTCGGTAAACGTAGTTCTGGGATTTAAATTTGTTTTTGAATTATTTCAAAATACGAATAAAGCTTACTTTTTTGATCTGCGACTTTTTACAATGACAAAAAAATAATTGTTTTTATAATAATAATAACAGTAAGAAACAACCTCGTATTGGATGCTGGGTATTCTTTTAAAGAAATTATTGTTGTTAAGAAAAATCAAAAAAATTTAGTAGATCTCGTAACGCAATGCCGTTATGGCTAGAGTATGAGTATTGAACCTAAAAGCCATGAATTTAATATTCAGCGTAACACTGCGTGTCGTCGGCAGTGGGTAGTATAGAAACAATTTGTTAAGTTTAAATTTCTCAATTTTTACTTTCACAACCTGATAAAGTAAAAAATTGTCATGAAGCTGTGTTATCATAATGACTAAATGAGTTTTAGTTTGTAAGTAGAAAACTTTATAATAAAAATTAAAATGAAAAGTACTTAAATTTATAATCTGGTCACGTGACCAGGGCAAAAAAAAAAAAAAAAAATATATATATATATATATATATATATATATATATATATATATATATATATATATTTTAGAGAACCTTTTATATATTAAGGTATTTTTTTAAGCACAAAAAAGAAACTTTTGCGTATAAAGTTATATCAATATTTAAAAAAACCGGGGGGTTTTAAAATACAAGATATAATTATAGTTTTGCTTTAACCAATTTTTAAACTTTTTTTTTGTCGAGCCATCTTGCCCCGTTTCCCCCTGTTATTAGAATCACAATAGCTATGTGATAATATTTATATAAGTTTATGTAAATAGTTAACTAAATAAATAAAACTAATTTTTAAAAGTAATCTTCGTCTTCGTCGTACACACAAATCAGCAAAAATTTTTGTTACCGCTATTATTCACCGCTAATATTTATAACCATTATTCATCGTTTTGCGAAAAATAAAAATGTTTTTCTAAAAAGCAGCGATATGTAGAGCATTAGTTTTTTTGTGATAAGAATTCGGCTATCGCTTTATATAAAGTTGCAGACCATTGGCTTTTTGCGATAAAAATGCGGCTATCGCTTTATATAAAGTTGCAGACCATTGGTTTTTTGCGATAAAAATGCAGCTAGCGCTTTTTAAGGAATAGTTTGCTATAGGTACTATTTTCCATTTGAATTTTTTTTTTGATTATTCATTCACAAATTAATTTATATTAGAAAATTGTTTGAAAATACGAATACAAATCTAAATAAATACAAAAGAATATTAGGTACATAAATAAAAATAGTATTTCAAAACAATATAAAAGTGTTCACTATTCTTTCATTAATTATTATTTTGTTGATTCTTTCTTTTTTAACAGTTTTTTTATTTTTAATCTTTTCTTAATTATATTTTTAAAAATCACACTTCTCACAACTAAAAAAAGTTTCAGTTTAAAAGAAAGGTATGAAACTTCTTTTAGTTTTTTTTTTTTTTTTTTTTTTTCTATCCTACTCAAAAAATTAGAATATTACGGAATCAGAGAATATTTCTTAAATGGTTTACTTCCTATCTTCACAACAGATCGCAGTTTTTTAGCCATTAATGACTCAAAATCTGTTCAAATACAATCTTGCAATGGTGTCTCCTAAGGCTCAGTAGTAGGACCATTACTTTTTTTTTTCTTTACATTAACGACCCTAATAACTCCGTTTACAGTTTTAAGTTTACAACTGTTTACCACTTTTATGATGATACTAACGTGCTCATTATTAACAAACCTTCAAAAAAAATTAACTAACACAATAACCATGATCTGCCAATCTAGTTCAGTGGCTTCGTTCAAATAAACTTTTTCTCAACCGTAGCAAAACTAAACGAGCTATATTCAAATCCAATAAATCAAAAATCAATAAAAACTTATATTTTAGATCAAGTGGGTAAATAAAGCAACTATGTAAACTCAATCAATTATCTTGGAAATGAAGTTGAACCTTTTGTTTAAATCCAATCTTAAAGTCTTGAAATGCTGGCTAAAGTTCGCCACTGGAATCACCAGCATAAAAATCTCTTACATTTAACAACTTCTTCCCTAAAGGTGCAAATAAACGTTACTTTCTTCGATTCATTAATAATCTGAATCTACCAGTCCTAAAACACCGTTTTGATACTTATGAACATAAAATACCAAAGTATAAAATCTTTGAATAACCTTCCCTATGACCTAAAAGTTCTCCATTCTAACCATGTTTTTATAAAACAACTTTTTCCACTCTTTCCAAGATAAATACAATTAATATATCCAAAGATATGTGTATGTATATGTGTATGTACGTGTGTGGGTAGGATGAGGGGGTATTTATATACGTGTATTACTAGTATTATTAAATTACTAATAAATTTTTAATGCTTATTGTTAATAATATTATTAGCGTTATCGTTGTTATTATTACTTTTTCCACTCTTACTATTAATTTAATTTTTACTATTATGATAATAGTATTTTTTTTTACTATTAATGTTATTGTTGTTAAATCCAACATTTATGCACACAGTGTTGCGCCTTTACTAATTAAATCAGCTGATGTATATAACTTACTGCGTAAAATAATTAAAATAAATAAAATAAATTCAGTCGATAGAACAAAAAACAAAAAAAAACAAGACGTAAAGTAAAAGTATATAATAATTAAAAAGTAAAAATAAAATCACTAAAAAATAAAAAAACGGAAAACTTCTAAACTAGCTATAAGAAATTAAAAAAAATGTATATATATTTTATTTATTATAGCTAAACTATGGTATGTATATTAAAAGGGGTTAATTTATTTCTGTAGAGGTTTTATTAAATTTAAGTCCCCGGTTCATTCATTTTGTCATTTTGTCACACTTTAAATTATTTTATATCCTGGGGTTGATTTTAAAATTGATCAACAGGGGAGTTAAAATATTTAAACCAAGAGTAAATTTTTGGGAAGTTAATTCCTTTTGTTGCTTTTCTGAGCATCTATTGATCATTAATGAGTTTCCATTAATAGAGACATAAATTATATCTGTCTCATATATGTATAAAAATAATTATTTGTATTTTGAATAAAAACGTTTATAGGAATTTTTTTTTACATTTTACGCAAAATTCTTTATAAAACTGGTTTATTATAGTGGTTAATTTGTTATTTAACGCTAAAGTTGTTATTAAACAATTTTGATATATTATATGATTAATTTAGTCTTAACTTCTTATTTAAAATATTCAATAAATAATATAAAAGTCTTTAAAATAAACGAGCAATTAGTGGCAATATAAATATAGAAACGCTTATACACTGCTTCTAATTTTTTACATGAGATAAAGTTTTATAAATTTTGTTATCAATAATTTTAAATTCTAACTTTGATTTGCTGCTCATGATTTAGTATTACTTGATAATATTCAAGACTTTCATAAGCAATGTTTTTAATTAGGAATGCGATAAAATACTGAATATTTATAAAAAACAAAACATATGCTTATTTAGTATGAAATCGAATTAGTTATTTAGTATGGAATTTAAAATATTCATTAATAACTAATTAAATAAAAGTTTATATTTGCTTCATTCATACTGTTCTGCATTCTGCTTCCAACAGTTAGAATTGTGATTTCCAACTGTTACATTTGCTACTTCCAACTGTACATTTGCTACTTCCAACTGTACATTTGCTACTTCCAACTGTTACATTAGCTACTTTCAGTAATAGTATTAGGCTCAGACCTTTTTCTTATTGAAAAACTTTAAAAGTTTTGTTTCTTTTTTTTTCTTAAAAAAATTTCATTCGCAATTTTATGAACTTTAAAGTGTTGTTTTTAAAGTTTGTACTAATAACTTTTCAGATGCATCTGTAATTTTTACAATTAATGATAATTCAAAATTTAATTGTTACAAATTAAATAACTTCTAACGGCTAAAAAAAATACCTCTTCTCTGTTTGTAAAGGTAAACAATTAAGAACGTTTTTCACACTGGCAAGCTCAACTAGTTACAAAAAAACTTGTTAAATCAAATAAAGAGAGAGTTTGGGTTATTACTCTTAAAGAATGTACCGTTAGACTGAGAATCCTTTTCCCCAAATAGTGCTTACAAAATACTAAGAGTTTTTTACAATTCAAATTAAAAATAGAAATTTTACAAAAATAATTGACAAAAGTTATTTTGATGCCATTAAGTACATTAAAAACTTCAAAATAGTGTTATTTCTTATGGCATTTCTTTTACAAAACGCCTTGAAGGAATGACATAAGAAATGACACTATTTTGAAGTCTTTAATATTTTCTCATACGTTTTCGTTATACTTCAAGGCACCGAGCCATTAAAAAAGACAGGTCACATTGTTGTTACAGAAGCACAATCTATCTTTCTGACTGAAGAAAGAAATAGGAAAATATTTAGTAACGCTTTCTATGCCTTACACATTTTAATCCTACTAATTTTATTATTTTATTTTCAGCATTTGAATTGGTAAGATCTAGGTCTCTAACTATTAAATTGTTGATGTCTTTCTGATTAAAGAAATATGGCTTTTTCTCCTTAACCGAACCTCTAAAACTGTAATTTGTCTCTTTAATATCTTTCTTGCTGTCCTACTTACTACATTCTCTTAAAGATGACTGATCTCTTTTAGAGTTGTGTGGCATCGTGGCAATATACAAAGCAATCTCTAGATAAAACCTGTAAGGTATATTTGCACCTACGCAACGTTTTGTGTTAGCAACCCAGAAGTAATAGTTGCTTGAGTAGTCCATTGGATGTACCAAATTTGCGGAATACTAAATTTTATGACATTTTTTCCCTATGTATCATCCTGTAACATAGCATTCATAAATAAGCTATACAACTTGGAAAGCAGGAAGTTTCATACCTTAATTAATTGAGGATACAATATAAATATATAATACATATTCCTAAAGTACACTAATATATATGAACAATTTGAATTGGATATATAAAAAATTTTTATGTATCTAAATCATTTAAATTTTACAAAATAAATCACATCTAAACAAAAAGCAATTATTCAATTTTCTTTCAAGAGTTTTTTGTACATATCAAAATGTATCTGTTTGTTGCAAACAACCTGATGATGCCATTCAATTGTTACAAACAACATGTTGATGCCATTCAGTTGTTGCAAACAACCTGTTGCTGCCATTCAATTTAAATAATTGCACTTTCAATTTGCCATTCAATTTAAAAAATTCTTTAGAACTAACCGGCCAAAAAACTGAAAGAGAAAAGGAGTGACAAAAAATTTAGAACCTGGGCATTGTATTAAAAAAACGGCTTTCATAATTTATGGGTCGTACTCTTAGTAGTGGTCAACCACTACTATGAGTATTAACATAAGTATTACTACTTATGAACATAAGTAGTATATGAACATAGTTTAACGTAAAAGAATTAATCTTTGTTCCTGTCTTGCTATAAAAACATAGTTAAGTAAAAATAGAAACAAAAAAGAAGCTTTTCATATATTTGCACAGTGTCAACTTATTGGTCAGTATCAACTTTTTTTACAGTGTCAACTTTCTAGAACTTTAGTCTTTCCTGCTACGATATTATGCTTTCCAATGTTAACGATTAGAATTTAAAAGCAACTGTAAAATGAGTCAAAAATCACAGTAAAACTTATTTTACCTCTAAAAACCACGTGAAATATTTTTTTAAACCTACAGAATGCTCTTATTTATTACTATATATATATATATATATATATATATATATATATATATATATATATATATATATATATATATATATATATATATATATATATATATATATATATATATATATATTACAAAAAAAAGTTCCCATTTTTATTTTTTTTAATTACATGGACACGTACCAAATTTTTTACTTTACAAAGGAAATAGTAAATCCCATAAAAAGGTTTTAAAAGATTCATTTACAAATGATTTACTAAGACTTGTTGATTTTTTCAATAATTGTTATTTTTCAGGATATCGAGTCTATTTATTAAACAAAAGTCTTTAGGGTTTTTTAATTTTTTTTTTTTAATTCTCAATACTTTGGTGTTTCTCGTAACAAAAATTGATAAAATATCCGGTTTCCTGACCAACATTAAATATAGTTTTGGAATTTTAGAAAATATTGAAACAATATTTTAATTTACTCACTATTTTAAAAAATATTCAGCTTTAAATTACAAGATAACTACTGTTGCGTGACGTTAATCATGTTACTCGGGGAGGGGTTGTGACACACACCCTTTTTAAAATTGCCCATGAAGATTAGTAAGCAGATTTAAAAGTACGACTAGATTGGTTTTGCTTAAAGATAGAGTGCGAATATATGGCAGTTTCTGCCTTCGTTTTTTTGGGTAAGTCTCTATTTATAGCGAATCTTGCTCCTATGATGTTGCGTTGTGCGGAAACATTATTTCCACTGACAGACGAGCTGTATGTTTGCGTACTATGGCGAGAGTTTAAAAATAGCTGTATAATAAATATACAGAGCATTTCGAGGACCTAAAATATGAAATTATTTTCAAAAAAAAAAAAAAAGCTAAAATAGATATGGTAAAATCATTAAACTCATTCAAGTTTCAAACAAAAAAACACATTTTTAACTCTGAATAACTCAGTTTTTTCTAAGTAGTTTTATTTTTTATTCTTTAAAGAATGCAACTGTACACTTACTCTTTTATTTATGTATTATTTTAAATCTTTAAGTATCTAAATTGAAAACTTTACATCTTACTGTTTTCTGCAGATAATAGTAAGATGTAAAATTGAGGTGGTGTTACATAAGATTTTATTTAACAAGTTACATAAGATTTTGGGAAGCAAGGACGCCTCCTTGCATACCAAAGCAAGGAGGTATCTCCTTGCTTAACAAAGCAAGGAGGTATTTCATCGGTATCGCATGTCGGACTTGGTTTTGAGCCAGAACTCAAATCACTGTGCCACGGTTGCTTATGATATTTATGTCATTAACAAATTTTGACTTATTTTTCAAATTATAATTATTATTACTTTATTATTTGAAAAATAAGTCAAAATTTGTTAATGACATAAATATCATAAGCACTTTATTATTTTCTTTATTGTTGTTATTTTAAAATTTAAAAAATGAGTCAAAAAACACAATTGACAATTTTAAAAAATGTTTAAAAGTTGCGTAATAGTTATTGTATTTACAATTTTTAAAGTTTTTATGTCATGTATCAAAAGTTGGTGTAATGTGAGACTTTTTTTCTTTTATGATGTGATTAAATATGAGAAAATTTTGCATATAGTTAAATATAACAAGATGTTGTTGAGAAGCAATAATCATTAATCTTAGAAATCGATAAGAAATACACAACAAAAGTACTCTTATTCTTTGAACGAGCTCCAATTTTAAATTTGATGGTAATAATTTTCTAATGGAAGAATTTCATGTTTTGCGTACTATGACGAGAGTTTAAAAAAATTTTGTATCCAACCACTACTGCACCGTGTGAGTGAATGTTGGTTTCACTTAAACCTTACAAATTTAAAAAAAAAAGAAAGAAAAAAACTTTGTAATTTTAACACTATTTCTAGATAAAAGAAACTTTTAAGAGTTTTTCCATTAGTATATACATATTAATATAAGATAATATAAGTGTAAAAATACATAAAAATATAAGTGTTAATATATATATTTTTTCAAAACTTTATTTATAAGTACTAAGAAAGTTTTTATTGTTTCTAAATTCTCCCTCCCTCCTTTCCCTCCCCCAAAAAAAAAAGAAAAAGAAAAAAAAATTGTTCCTTTCCATTTTGTAAATATGTTAAGCTTTTTAAAATTATTGGGACCACCCAGTGGGCACAAGACGTGACGTTAAACGTTTGAAAAACGTGTTAATATGTTTTCTTACGTGTTTTAGACGTCTAAAACACGTCTTGTTTCCACTAGGCAGTTACCTAAGAAAATAACTACGTAATAATTATATAAAAAATCTGTCTTTGACCAAACTTGTACACATACTCCAAAATAAATTCACTTTTCCTTGAATATATCATTTTTTTACAACACAAAACAATAATATACAAAAAATACAAAAGCATAAATGTCAAGTAAAGTTGCAAAGATAACATTCTCTAAAGTTGCGTAACATCCTCTGCATATGATAAACTTTAGTTGAATCAAGTTTACTGATTTTAAGATTGAAACATTTTCATGGGAAAATTGGGGAAATAAATTTCAATGGGAAAATACAAAGTTTGCTTATCTACCCATTTCTGTAATCTACGCATTGTTGAAGTAAAGCATACGCATGATCTAATTGAGATAAACCTTTAACCAAAACACTCCTGAAATACAAATATATAATAAACATATAGTATAATGGCTAACTAAAACACTCCTGAAATACACATATATAATAAACATATATTATAATGGCTAACCAAAACACTCCTGAAATACACATATATAAGAAACATATAATGGCTGATATTTTCTTAAAACATTTAACTAAAAGTTTTTTGCAAACATTAAAAAAAAGCACCTTGTACTAGATTCTTTACAAAATTTAAGAAGATCTTCAGACGTCAAAGAACATTTTTTTTTCATAACCTGTAAAAGATCATGTTTTGTTTTTGTATGCAAATAAAATACAAAAAGGTTATTAAGCTGGGGAAAACTGATAATGACAAAAAAATACCTTTATCATAAAATTGTTTAAGGATTGCTGTAGATTGGAAACAACTGTATCAGAAGTTGTGCAATCAGTATTCACCAACAAAATGCTGAAAAAAACAACCAAAATATTGTAAATTTGACAATCACTTGACACGAGTACCCTGAAGGTGACCTTATATCAAATCCCATAAATTTTTTATTTATTTTGAAAGTAATCCATTTGTACATTTCAAAACTATCTACATTTAAATCCTTTTATGGTAGCTTTTCTAGAGAACTTAGCATGAAGTTTTATATATTACATCGGCCATTATAGTTGTTTACTTTCTGTAATTTCTCAAGAAAAGAAAAGAAATACTTTGCTAAAGATCATAACGAGTTTTTAAAATGCTCTTGTATATGCTGTTTCAAAAATGATTTAAGATGCATTTAAACCTAAATTTCATGTCTAAAACATCGAAAAAGTTATAAAAATCTTATCAAGAGATTTTTTTGGGAAAATTACTCTATTGAAAACCCTTATATGCCTAAAATCTTATGTTCAAATTGTCGAAAAAATCTATTGAGTTTAGCAGATTTAAAAAGCTTTATATTCAACGCTAGACATAGGTACGAAGGTAAGTTTTTTCTAATAAAAATAGGCCAATTAAAACCTGTCACTGTTTTCATTATTATTATTATTTTGCTTATAAACAACAGTGTTAGCATTAAAAAAAAACTAATTTCTTATTACTTTTAGGTCTTAATATTAGAGTTATTCGAGGTGGGAAATACGAATGTTTTATTTGTATTAATGAGCGTACAAATGGTACTAAAATGGCAACTCTTCCACCAATGATTTCATGTGAGACTAATAAAGATATAGATCACATTTGCCATAATGTTAATATTTCCACAACCAATGAAAACTTTGTTTTTTGCAGAAGTTGTTTTCAACTTATATTATAAGTTGAAAACAAGGATTGCAAGGATGTTTAATATCTTTTCCTATAAGTTATAGGAAAAGGTATTAAACCTTGCACAAAGTTAGCTAAGCAAAAAAATTTGGCGCATATTGTACAATCCAATCCTGTAACTAAAGGAAAAGTTTTATCTGCCACAATCAACAATTTAGTAACTAATGACACAGATTTAAAATTGAATATCTTTGGCCCTAAGAGATTTTTTGTTTCTGCTGGAGTAGTTGAACCAAAAACTTTTCTTATTCAAAGCTGAAACAACTACAAAGCAAACTTCATACAAGGTTTAAATTGTGTACTACAGAATTCAAAAAAAATATATTATTTTAAAAAATGTTTTTAACATTTGTATCCAATTTACTTGTGATTATAAGATGTTAGCAATTGCCCCATTTACACGAGTGAATGGAGGAAGAAAATCTGTTAAACCTTGTTTTTCCAAAAATTTAACAGATGAAAATAAAAATCTATTGTCTTTGTTTGATGCTGAGCTTATACTGATTCAGTCTAAACATCGGAGAGAAAAAAAAGTGGTATAATTAAATATATGCATATATAGTTTTACTTTGATTTTACCTCCAATAAAAAGTTCTATAAAAATAAAATATATTATAATAAAATAAAATTTAATGCAACATTAATTTTATATTTTGATTAAGTTGATAATATAAAATAAATCAACATCCTCTGAATTTAAGTTGTTTTATTATTACTTATTGCATTAAAAGAGCTATTCTTAGTGTAATATGCAATAATGTTGATGAGTTTGTTGCAACAGTTTTACAACATAGATCTCTTAAACCCGATAATGTAGGTGTTAAGATTAGGGTAGATGAAGGGCAGGGCTATCTAAAAGTTACCTTATCAATTACATTGAAGCCAGGGTTTGATGCATATTCAAGTGAAAAGAAAAGGGTAAAATATTCTGATGGGTATGGATGTAAAAATTTCAAGTTTAATAGTGTTCACAAAACCTTTGGCTGTATTACCCTCTATTGATGAAAATTATGCAAACATAAAAATGTTATTGGATAAACTAAAACTTAATTCTCTGGATTACTCTATTTCAGAAGATCTAAAGGTTTTTTTGCTGATGGTTAAAAAGCAGTCAGCAGCTGCAAAGCATCCTTGTCCATTTTGTAAAACAGAATCACCTAGTATGCTGAGAGCTGAGTCATATTCTCTAACTTCTGTGTGAGAGGTATAACAAATGGCTGGAGGAAACATTGCAAAAACAAAATATTTTAGTAGCGTAGTTTATCCTTCTTTATTGACTGGAAATCTTTTAATGAAGATCTTAGATATTGTCCATATACCAGGCTTACATATTTTGTTAGGCATAATAGACAAACTTCTCAAACTAATTGAAAAAAACTTGTTTGAGAATAATAATCAAGGATTTCATTTTGTAAATAATTATTTGTCGACAATTAATCTTGCCAGAGTACCTTATCAAGGTAAACACAGGTTAGAAGGAAATGGATCCAACAAGTTTCTTAAAAAACTTGATTTATTTGTTCAAATACATATAGGATAAAGAAATATAGTATATGTATATAATAATGCAGTCTTTTTATTCTTAATCTTGTTTTTAAATCTATTTGAATGAGCACAATATTGTTGGTGGAAAATATATGAAAGCTTTGAAAGACTTTAGCGATGTTGTTCATGGGTGTTTTGGTGTGTTCAATGTTGTTCACGGGTGTTTTGGTGTGTTCAATGTTGTTCATGGGTGTTTTGGTGTGTTCAATGTTGTTCACGGGTGTTTTGGTGTGTTCAATGTTGTTCATGGGTGTTTTGGGAAAACATTAAATCGAAACTACTCTGAATATATTAAAAGATTTTCACAAAGTTTCAGAGATCTCGGCTCAAACATTACTCTTAAAGTTCATATAGTGGAGCATCATGTTGAAGATTTTATTATAATGAAAGGAGGAAAGTTTGGTATGTATATATTTTAAAAAATAACGGAAAACCTTTTTACATAAAATATTAAATATTAATATAAAATATTAATCTTTAATATCTTATGTTAAGGTTTGGAAAAATATGAAAGGTAGGACAACACAACGTCAATTTCGATGAAGTCTTGCGAAGAGCTATCTGAGTCTACAAAACAAGGCATTTATAGTTAAAGGGATACATATAAATAAAACGTATATACTTTAGTTAAATGTAGTATTTATGTTTTGGTAAATATCTCCTTTTAAGAAAAAAAATAAATAAAGTTTTGTAAAGCCACAACTGTATTTGTAAACTTAACTTATCCTCCTAAATAAAAAAAAAGATAGCTAATATTAAAACCATTATAAATTAGTCAATATTCTAACTAGAAAACCCAAGTTGTTATCAAAAATTATTTCTAAATCTGATCCACAAAGTGTCAATCCAATAGGACAATAAACCAAACAAATTATATATTGCCATTTGATCCACTCTCAGGGATTTTAATGTGAGCCAGAGGGGTAATAATCTCTAAATTAAACAAGTATTGTAGCTAAGTTTTCTCGAAAAAGCTACCAATTTTATTTAGTAAAAATTCATAAAATGTTTAAAAATAACATTTTCTAAAATTAATTTATTAAAAAAAAATTAATACATAGTGTATTTTTCTCTCAAATAAAACATAGATTAAATCAATTTGAGAGAAAAAAAGTTTGAGAAAAAAAAGTACAGCAAAATGAGCAAGGAACAAATAGAGCATACATTAATAGACAAAAGTTTGTATACAGCAAAATGTTTTTTGTAATACTGCACTATTTGTAAACAGCCATCAAATATAAAACTTTTGTTTCAGAAATATTTTTATTGATTATAAAAATAGTTTACAGTTTGTCATTATTTTTTAATTATTTTAACAGAATTATATTTCATCTACTATTTTAATAGATTTAAATGTTGATTGATATATAGGTCTGTGGTATGAATATAAAACATGCTCTTAAGCATATTTTTACCATATATTTGAATATGCTAACTTTAACAGGTTTTTTGCACGTAACACTGATTGCGTAATAGTAAAATTTTTAATTCTATCTTTTAACTTGATTTAAAAAAAATCAATGTGGATTTCGTAAAAAATAAGCAATTTTTTATGAAACATAAACATTTTTTGGTTAAAAATGCAGAATGCAAATTTCATTATAATAAATAAAATAACAATACAATTTTTAATTGGTATATTATTAATATTATATTTATATATTTTGTAATGTTACTGTAAACAGGAGTTCTTTTTATAATTGAACATGTTAAATTGGGTGTTGCTTATAATTTTTCTTTTGTATTCCATAGGTATTTTGTGAGCATAGTTTTATTTACAAATAGTTTTTTTTTTTTCTTTGATAAATGCTTCTAGTGAGCCCATCTAATTTTACACCCGCTCTCTGTTGAACCAATTTATTTGCCAGATTTAGAAGCAAAACAAAATACAGAATATATATAACAGAACAAATATAAATAACAGAACTCTGTATAGACACAAAATATAGAACAAGAGTAAAATGATAATGCAACATTCCAAACATTCCAGTGTACAAAATTAATCGAAAAAATCATTAAAAGTAAAAAGAAGAACACAATAACCAGATAGACATATTTGTATTAACCAAAATTTGACTTTGTTTCAACTAAAATTGTTTAAATGGCAACAACAGCATAAAAAACTATTTATCATTTTGTGTCATCAGAATATGACACAACAGAATTAGTAAAAACAAAAGTACTCAAATTTGTCCTGTGCCAGAAGAACAGTCTATTGCCTTTTTGTACCTTTTAAATTTTTTTTTGCTAAAATATTGTTGCATTAACACAAAAGTTTGTTTTCTAGATTATTCCACATTTTCATAAAATCTGCTTTTATGCAATTCTCTTTTTGAGCTTTATCAAGTGTTTAAGGTTCTAGGTGAGAAAGCAAATCTTTTACAAATCACTTTATGAATTTTTAAATTTATTGACAAGATATTAAATTTATTGACAACCTCTTCCCCCACTAAAAATTCTGATAAAAAAAGTTATATCAAAGCATGTGGCATATTATAGTGATACTTAATAAAGTAAACAAAACTTAATAATAACAAAAACAAGTACTTATGAATCGCCATTACAAGACGTAATAAGCATGGAGTGAGAGTGTTTAAACATTCAAGAGCTTCTTTTTGCGAAGGTTTTGGTTCATTTGAATCTAGTTCTTTTAAATATGGACTCGGATAATCTAGACTGTAGAAGATCAATGCACTAAAAATAAGAAAAACTTTAAGAGATAAATGTTTAAAAAAATCATGAACATATTACATAAATAAATGTGTTGTAATTGTGCACCTAAATCTTTTAACTGTTAACCAAATAGCCTCAAATGTTTGCATGACTGTTAGATTTGACGAGGAAAGCAGTTCTTTGCACCTTACAGACCCTTCTTTACACTTGACTGCTAAAAGGCCCTAAAAATCAGAACTATATAGGAATATGTATATGTATATATGTATATATATGTATATATATATATATATATATATATATATATATATATATATATATATATATATATATATATATATATATATATATATATATATATATATATATATATATATATATATATATATATATATATATATATTAGTGATGAACCTATAAAAAAGGCCGATCATGGATAATAATAGGGTTTAATGTATGTATATAAAGATATTAGGTATGTAATTTCAATATTAGGTACATAATTTGCATATATATGCTGCGCCTATGCACCAGTAGTGGTTTGGCAAATTAGCTAATGTCTATGCCTCGACCAATGCTAATTAGTCTGTATAACTATCGGTTGATTAATCAGCCAATTATTGGTTGATAGTTAAGCTGATTAATTGGAATTGGCCAATAATTTTTCAAATTAATATTTGAAAAATTGACTAAAAAAAGGACTTTAAAAAAAAAAAAGGTCTATAAAACTATTTCAGGGCCCCTTAATCCACCAATGCCCCCCAATATAATTTTTGTTCCTACAGGCCTGTATATACATATATCAAACCTTGTTATTAGCCACAATCGACCTTTTTCATCGGTACATCACTAATATATATATATATATATATAATATATATATATATATATATATATATATATATATATATATATATATATATATATATATATATATTTATATACAATATACATAATACATATAAAATACAATATAAATAATACATAAGATAACTATTTCACAATAGTTGACATTTAAAATATTTTTGACAGAATAATACTTCTTTCATATTTCCATCAGAAATTTCACCCAAACTCTGGATTTCACCATTATGAAAAGGAGAATAAAGTGGTGTGACAGGGTATTCATGTTTGATAATATCATTATATTTCCCAAAAAGCACATGTACAGCAGATAAAGCATTTATGAGCATTTCATCATAACTGAGTAAAAAAAAAAAACTATTAGAAAACATAAAAGCGGAAAACACACACACAAAATTTATTATATTACTACTATCATTGTTTAGAATTCATAATGATAATGACAAATCATAATGATATGTATATAATTTTTAAGTTTATCTATGAGTTTACTTTAGCCTATGTAAAAATATACTTGATATATTAAATATACTTCAGCATTAAAGGTTTAAGATAAATACAAATAGCATAAATGCAAATAGTGTTTTAAATCAAATGTTTTTATTATTATTTTACAGTTGAAAAGAAAAAAAAACTAAATTTAGTTGACCCATTTTGAAGGTTGAGAATTGTGGTGAAAACTATGTCTCTATTTAGCTATACACTACTGCATTATTATATACATATACTATATTTCTTTATCCTATATGTATTTGAACAAATAACTTAAACATATTTAAATTATCCAAAAGATAATCCAAATAATAAAAAAATATATATCATACTCAGAATGATTTGAAAATTCCTCAAATATAAGAAGGCTTTCATTTAGGAGAACTTTTATGGATTCGAAATCCTGAGCTTTTCCTGAAACAAAACAAAAAACTTAAATATTGACACAACAACCTCCAGACACATTCACATATACGAACACAGTACAATATAGCGTTACAATCAATGAACTTTTAAGGACAACTATTAAGGAAAAAAAAAAATTAAAAATTATAATATTAAGAAGATTTAAAAACTAATAATAACATTAATAAAAAAGATTATTAAGTTTTATATATAAAACACACACACACGCATGTGTGTGTGTGTGTGTGTGTGTGTGCGCGTGTGTGTGAATGCAGCTACACCAACTAAGGATTTGGGGTAGCAATTATTTTTTATTAATGTTTGTTTACACAGTGGTTTACACTCCTATTTTTTAATTAATTGAAGGAAGGATGACTGAAAGTAATCACTAAGCTAATGTTGGTTGCCCACCAATATTTTGTGGTGCCTGTCACCATTTTTTATAAAACTTTTTGCATTCATTTTTTAGATAATCTGGTTTTTTTTCCATATGGTAATAATGGTAAACTACAAAAAGTTTTCACAAACCAAAAAACTATTGTGAACTAATAAAAACATAGACTAATCTACTTTCAGAAAAATCACACAATGGCATGCACGCCATTAGTTTTTTTTATTTGTTTTGAGTGCTAATCTAAACACTAGTAATTAATGTTCTTTTTACATGATATTTTTAGTAGGATTAGGATTTTTTTTGTGTGCAAGTAATTTTTTAATTAATTAATTAATGTGTGCCTCAAGTAATTTTTGTGTGTCTTACAAATGCCTCAAGTAATTATGGTCACTAGTATTTAGTTTGGAAAAAATGAAAAACTAGTTATTATGAACTAAAGCCTAATAAAATCTAAAGTATTTCATTAATTTTCAAGCTTTTTTCTAAATTATTTTCAAGTTGTATTTTATTCCTTATAGTTTCTGTATATGACATTAAGACTTTCAAATTATAACTTTAACATCAATTATAAATCAATAAATTCAGTATTATTGGAATAACAGAAACTAAGCTGAGAAATGATTTACCACTACCAAAATTTCCAATTTATCCTAATGGTTATAAACATAGTCTAAATTAAATTTCCGCTAGAGGGGCTTTATTTCACACATCTGATAAACTAATATATAAAATAAGAAACAATATGCAAAAACCCCACAATTTAGATTCAGTGTTTGCGGAAATGATTTTTCTTAAAATAATGAATATCATAGTAAGTTAAGGAGTTACCAATTTGGGTCAAAGACCACAACAAAATTGGCAAGCTAGTGCTAACTCTAGTAAGAACCTAACTGCAACCATAAGGCTATTCATTCTGCATTGCAGCATGCGCATACATACCGGAGTGGGTAATCAACAAGGAAAAATGATCAATCTCCCAGCTCCTACACCAAATCGAAAATATTATCTCTAGAAATACACGCAATAACAAACCTCTAATATACGTAATTGGTGACTTAAACAGTGCCAATACCAAAAATTTAACCAACACACATAGTCTTCACCAATTGAATAACCAACCAACTAGACAAAACCATGTTTCAGATATAACAATTATGAACACTCCAAAAAACAGTATACAAACGCATAAATCTTTCACTGCTTGGGAAGTCAGATCACAATATAGTCCACACTCTCCCATCAAATTCATTCTATTACAAGTTAAAACCAGCACCCATATAAGCAACATACAGATCAGGTAATATTGCAGACACTGCAGAACCTCTGAAACAAACAAATTGGAAACAAATTATCCCAAGTCATTTATTAAACTTTTTCCAAGACAATGGACAGATAGTATTAGACTTATTTTACCAACACATTCAGATAGAAAATTATCATCAACCACTAAAAACAATAAAAATTGTCAATGATAAACCATGGATGACAGCTGATATTAAGAAACTGATCCGAATGCAACAAAAACAGTACCACAGTAGCAATCTTGAGAAATGGAAAACAACATGTAAAATTAATAACTCAAAAATATGGCAGCGCAAAAAAAAATTCTATAGTGGCCTCACTAACAAAACCAGCACCAGGTGGAACAAAATAAATAAAATCAAAAAAGCCTCAAAAACTAATCCATTGACACAGATTTAGCAAAGCAATTAAACAAAGGTTTTCACAGTGTCTGGAATGGTTCAGAGCAGCTGGACATATCTCACTTTAAACAAAATCAAACAACCAAAACGTACCCTTACTTTTTACTACAGGCATCATTTCAAATCTTTAAAAAGATTTAAAACAAGGATCACCTGGACCCAACCAGATCTCCCCAAAACTACTCAAATGCGTTTGTCTTGAAATCTCTGATATTCTAAGTCTTCTGTTTAACCAGCGTTTGTCTCACTTTTTTACGCCTTATCAATGGACTCTTGCAAACATAACACCTATTGCCAAATTACCAAACCCAAGAAACTGGTTTGACTTCAGTCCAATCTCTCTAACATTCCATCTCTGCGAGACATTAGAGTTGTTGCCAAATTTATTATCTACCATACTCACACCATTTTAGAAAACAACAAACAATATGGCTTCCTACCAGGTAAAAGCATCATGGATGCAATCGGATATGTCATAGAAGACTGGCATCTTGCTAAAGACAAAAAGAAAAATTTAATTGCAATATTCCTTGACTTTGCAAAACTTTGATTTAGTTGATCCTGAGCTTCTTCTTACCAAATTATCATCCCTAAATGGCTTATTTCCGCAATTGCAATGTACCTACAGACCAGATATCAGCGAACTTATACTGACGGCATAGCAGCATAATGGCAACATGTGGAAGCTGGAGTCATCCAAGGCAGTGCACACGGATCCGTTTTCTTTATACTCTTCATACCTGATATAAGCACTATATTTGACTGCAATACTGAACTATTCAAATTTGCAAATGATATCCTTGCATACATTGTTGGAGACCTAGCCCACTCAATCTTACCACAAGAAATTTGCAAAAAGTTAATAACTGGATCAAAAACAAAATGTTATTAAACATAACAAAATGCAAAATCATGAGCATACCTAGTAACAAACTTGACACATGCCCACCACCAATTGTTTCCATCAACTCCAAATCTCTCAAACATGTAACATCATATAATTACCAAGGATCGAATTTAAATATAAAAATAAACACCGACCAACAATGGCAGCACATCAAGCCCAAATTTTCCTCAGCTCAGTACCTAATTAGAAGTCTAAAAAAAGTAGGCTTTCATAACGAAATACTAGTAACAATATACTGAAACATTTGACTCAATTGATCTGTGTGCAAGCAGTATCAAAAAAAAGCACGAAATACATCTAAAATCAGCAAATCTAAAAACGCTAAAATCTTTAAGAATTAGTCCAGAAATTGTGAGAACAAAATATAACATTGAAAACACTGATACATACATTGACAATATATGTATAAAAATCCTTAAAAAAAATTCTAAGAAACCCAAATCATACGCTACACATAAAGGCAAAAAATAATTCTAAAATAACAACAAGACAAAATATCAACTTCAGGTTCAAGCCACTACAAATACAACATACAAAAACAGTTTTACCTAACAAACATTGCTTCTTATAAGAGATGGGAAGCATAACTTGTGCACTAGTTAATCAAAGTAACTACAAACTTAACTACCATAATATGTGTGTGTGTGTGTATATATATATATATATTATATATATATATATATATATATATATATATATATATATATATATACATATGTATGTATGTATTCTAAATTTTTAGACCATTGAATTTAAATAAAGATCTATATAATAAAAAAGCTGTGAATTCACCACCAAACATTGATATTTATGAATTAATTCACATTTATTTTATTTTTGAAAAACTTCCTGCCATAAAGATCTTTTCAATGGTTCCTGTTATAAAAATCTTTTCAATAGAAATTAGGACTGGGATCTTATAAAAGCAAAAAAAACTTGATCTCTGTTTAAATATCATTGCTTCAAATAACATTCTTTAAACTTAATCTTTAAATATTTAAATGTCATTGATTCAAATAATATTCTTATTGTTAAATTTGATGAAAGTTTTTAATCAATTAAAGATGATTTTTTAAATTGTTTATTTTGTTAAATAAATTTGTTTTGTTATATAAATTTATTTTGTTAAATAAATTTAAGGATGATTTAGTTAGTTAAGTTGGAAACAGTTTAGTTGTTTGTATTTTATTTTTGTGTTGTATTTTTATTTAAATAAGATAGTATTTAAATAAATAAAGCAAGTTATATAATTAAATAATTAAAATAATTAAAAAAATAATTAAAGCAAGTTAAATAAGATAATTATTAAACTAAAAAAGAACTAGAAATACCATAAACAATTAAGAAAACATAAACAGAATATTTAAAAATACTTCATAACAAACCTTCTAAAGTTTGAAACATTTCCTTAAGATTAGTTATGTTTTTTTCTAATGACCGTTTGAGTATCATACCAAAAACAGCAATCCAATGTCTACAAAACCAAAAAACCAGGTTTAAAATTCTACTTACAATCGAAATAAAAAATACACTGCAAAATTTGTTACCTTTCCAAAAGTATAAATAAGTCATTTAATGTCCAAGGAGGCTGAATTTTGACAATTTTCAACCTAATAAAACCGAAATTCATAAAAGCCATAATTCTATTGATTAAATAACAAAATAATGTATGAACGATAGAAAATGCAATCAATACCTTAACAAGAATCTGAATACCGAAATAACAAGCTATTAACATATAGTGTTTTAAAAACTAAACACTAGTTAAATCTAAACACTAGTTAAATTAATAAAAAAAAGTGATAAATGAATCTATTTACCACAAATCGTCACCATATGCTGCTTTCATTTCAGTTTCAACAACTCTTGCAAGTGCTTCACGTAAAATGCACTGAAGTTCACATGATATTTCATCGGCCTTGAAATTAAAATAATTACAAAGTATAAAAATATAATCAAGTAAGAAAAACAAAAAAGTAATTCTGTTAAAAGAAAATATTTAAAATTTAAAATTGTGCAAAATTTTTACCTTAGATATATAGTACAAATTTAATTATTTAAAAAATTAAGTGAATTAAAAATAAAAATATTTATTTAACAATTAAAGAAATAAAATTACCTGTTTTTTTCTTCTGGTCACTATTTCTTGTATTTTGCGTTGTTCATAAAACTCTGAAACAATATGTTGATTTTTTTTGAAGGAAATGAAAGACAAAATATCTCAAAATATAAATTAGAAATCAGCATTTAGTATTAAAGCATTGTTTTTTTGTATTTAAAAAAGTAATAAAAAACACTTACCTTTATAATTTTCTTTTTTTACAACTATCGTACCAAATAAACTTCTAAGACCAGGCATTATACTCTATTAAAAAAGACTCTGTTATTATTATTATTATTTTAGTTATTATTGCTATTATTATTATTATTATTGTTATTATTATTATTATTATTACTATTATCAAAAAATATTTTTACAGAGTGTTTTATCAGTTATAATCCAAATCATTATTAATTAGGTCTTGTTTATAAATTGAATGTTAAAATAAAGCATAAAAATGGTTGTTTTCAAAAGTTATTAGAAATTTTGTTCTAGGTTGTCTTGCTTAGTTTTGCTTTAAGCTGTAGTAAAAACTAATAAAAAGTAAAAAACCATTTCTTACTAATTCCAGTTTGATTTTATTCAAAAAAAAAATTATACCTGTTGGGAAAATGATTTGATGCCCATTGTCATTGCCTTATTACACAAATTTCTGTCGTTAGAAAGCATAACTGTATGACTTTGATTGGCTGGAAAAAAAAAGTTGAGCTTAATTTATTTCAATTTTTATATATAAATTTGTACTTTAAATTACAAACAGAATAAAAATTAAATTTTTATACAAATCTTTTATAACTATTTAAATTTCCATTTAAAAAATTTTTTTGATTACTGAATGAATTGAAAAACCAATTTATAACCTTAAATATATATATATATATATATATATATATATATATATATATATATATATATATATATAAAATATATATTATAATTATACATAATTATAATATATATTATTAAGGTTATAAATTGGTTTTTAAATCTTACTTTTTGATGAAATTTTTATTTATTTGATTATTTTAAAGTTAGTAACCAATTTATTCAAGTAATTAGAATATAACAGGACGTTAAAATTAAATTTTTGAATTTTTTTTTTTTTTTTGAAATGTATTATTCTACTTCATAAAAAATATTTGAACTATGGACTTTTTGTTCTAAAAACATTTGAACTGTGAGTACTAACATTTTATAACACAATGTGTTATTAGAAAAATAGTTTTATTAAAAATACTTTTTAGGGCCACTTATTCATCCCATTATCATTTTAAGTAATCATTGGCTTCCAAAAGCCCTGAAAACCATAGATTACTTGAATATAAAGTTTAAAAAAAAACTAAAAAAAAAAAAGGAGTAAAAGCACCACCTCTACTTAAATGATATCAGATATAATAAGAAATTATTTATAATATTAATACATTTTTTTTTTACTTTTACTAAACACCTTGTTTCTTTAAAGCAAGAGCACAGTGAATGATACTGTCATCATTGGTCAATTCAGTAAAACCTTCAATGGCCAAACCAGCCTAAGATTAATGTTGTTAAATGAAATTAATATAAATTAATGTTGTTAGAATTAGATAAACTAATATAAATTAATGTTGTTAGGATTAGATAAATTAATATAAATTAATGTTATTAGGATTATAATTTTTAGTTAAAACCTGGTCTACATTATTAAATAAAAAATGTTCTATATGATATATTATTCTCAAAAACTAAAAGCATACCTCTATAACAGATTCACCTTTCACGCGAGGGTGTTCTCCTTCAAAACATTTGTTTAAAAAATGAATTGCTTGCCTTGCCAATATATTTAGCTTTGTTTTTTGTACCTAAAGAGTTTGCTAAAACATTAAAACCCATAACTTTCATATCAAAAATTAAATATAAGACAACATATGAACCATAAAACTCAAAAACCCAGATAGATGTTATGATAAGTATATAAAAACATCTAGCAAGAGTTAAAAGGTTATGCAATGTTTTTATTACTACTAAAATATAGATTTAAAAATATTAGTTATCAGTATAGTAGATTGTTCATACAAACCTCAGCATCAGCATTTTCTTCTGTGTGAGTTCTGTTAACAGCATCCTGTTTAAAAACATTTAGAAATAAAAAATTTTGTAAACATCCTTGAATTAAATAAATATATTAAACTATATCAGAAGATTATCTATCAGCAAATTTCAAATTTAACTAAAACATTTTACATATGTAGCATTATACTGCAATAATAGTATAAAAATATTTAGTAAAATATAAAAATAATATAATATTTTGTTTTGACAATTTGACCATAGTTTTAACATTTTAATAAAGCGCTGAAAACTTAACTTAGTTATAAAGAAACTAAAAATTCAAACTTATTTTTAAAAAATAAATAAAATCTTCTTAAAAAAAAATAAAATAAAATAAAAATAGCTTATTAATAAATAATTCTATAAAAATATACTACTATGATACTTTTAATAAAATATTATAATTATACCTTAAGCGAGTCTAATTCTTGTAGTACCATCCATGGAATGATTAAAATTGGAGTTCCAACACCTTTCAAAATAAAATTGGAAAATAAATTAAACCCAAAGAATTAACAACAGTTTTTGATTTTCAGTGATATAATTTTTTTTTTTGCTCCAGTAAAAAAGAAACTAAATATATATGTTGTTATTTTATTTGCTGATAGACAAACATAAACAAAATTAAACAAAGACAAATTTGAAATCACTTCCCTAAATAAAATTTCCTAAATGCTTTTTGACTTGTAACTGATATTTATCATATATTAACACATATTTATGTGTACATTAGGAGTGAATGAGTTCAAAAGTGGTCGAAAAAGCCACTTGCCTTAATGGTTTATGTGCGGGTCATTACTATTTGTACAAACTTTTTCAAAATATTATCAAATGACATAAAAAATGAAGAATGGAAATATTAAATCAGATAGAGAAATAATAATTTCTATCATATATATATATATATATATATATATATATATATATATATATATATATATATATATATATATATATATATATATATATATATATATATATATATATATATATATATATATATATATACATATATATATATATATATATATATATATATATATATATATATATATATATATATATATATATATATATATATATATATATATATATATATATATATATATATATATATATATATATATATGTATATCAGTGGTGTACACTGGACTTTTAGATGTTTGAGTTTTGACACGTACAGGTATTGGGCAAACTCCAAACTTTTGTATGTTCATGCTTATGTCAAATGAGAATGTTTTGCAAAGAGTTGCGGTGATAAGAGCTTGGGGACAAAAAAACCCTAATTTTTGATCCCACGTAGCCCTTAATGTGGGAGCAACAAGTTGATAAAATAACTTCTTTAGTATTTTTATTTAAGTTTATATTCATCAAAAAATTTCAAATTTCATCCAATAATTTATTTTTTTTCGAAAACTATGACCATATAAAGTTTTAACCCCCCTCAATTTGAGGGGGCTGTAAACTTTGTAGGGTCATAAAAACTAAAAAGGGGTTTTTTTGCCCTAAAAACCACAACTTTTTGCAAAACATTCTCATTTGACATAGGTATGAACATACAAAAGTTTAGAGTTTGTACAATACGTGTAAGTATCAAAACTCAAACATCTCAAATATCTCAAATATCAGTGTACACCACTGTATATATATATATATAATATATATATATATATATATATATATATATATATATATATATATATATATATATATATACATATAGATAAAGTCAAAGCAATTAAAATAAAGCAGAAGTACATTAAGTTTAATTATTTTTTAAAAAACCACACTAATAATGACTAGAAAGTTTTTTAATTAATTTTAAGTGTTTTTGTTTCTGTTTTTTAAAAACATTTTTTTTAAAACATGCACGGAGTGTTGCTGCATCAACTATCTTATAGCCTGCTGCTACAAGGAAGTGTTGCTACATCAACTATCTTATAGCCTGACTTGCACGAGTGCTGCTACATCGACTATCTTATAGCCTGACTTGCAATGGAGTGCTGCTACATCGACTATCTTATAACTTGCTCCTACAGCGACTGAGGGTTTGGTTAGGGCAGGCAGTCTATCATTTAAGAAAAAAAAAAATTATTTAAGTTTTTAAACCTTTTCTGGTCTGGTTTATTAGCGCCCTCTTTAAAACTACAGTTTTGTTTTAAATCATATATACATATTTAAAATTGTTATAAAAAATATAAATGATTCTTTTTTCACCTCTTTTTGTGTGTATATACACATACAAACATGCATAAAACCTTTTTTTTTAAATAAGCTAATTTAGATGCTTATATTGAATTTATTTATTGAAGTTTATGGAATATTTATATTTATTGTTTATTTATATTCATTGTTTATTTATATTTATTGTTTATTTATATTTATTGTTTATTTATAATTATTGTTTATTTATATTTATTGTTTATTTATATTTATTGTTTATTTATATTTATTGAAGCCTATATTGAATTTAATTGTTAAAGTTATTGAATAAATTTTTTTGAAGAGTTAAAAAGAAATTAATGAAAATCATTGTTACAAAAAACATTTTACATACAGTTTCTGCTATTATTTATTTCTTAAATGCGTTTTTTTCAAAATATGTAAAAAGCATCTTTAAGGCGTTTTAAAAGTTAAAACATTTGATATAATTTAATACAAGAACACAATTAGGGGGTGCAAAACATCAAACAACCAAAATTTTAAGTGTTTTAAGGACCCTCAAACATTTGTTTATAAATTTAAAAAAATAATAGTTAAATATTGTTATCAAGAATAAATGCATAAAATTTTATAGATAATATTTAATAGAAGCTTTAATGATTGTATATATGTGTGCATATATACAATCATTAAAGATATATAAAGATAAAATATATGTGTGCATACATACATGTTTGTGTGTGTTTACACACACACACACACACACACACACACACACACACACACACACACACACACACACACATTTTTGTCATTTTTAAAATTAACAACAATCTCAAAATAGTCATATTTCAAATAAAGTCATATCTCAATTAAACTCTTCTACAGGTTGTGGTCCAGATAACATTCCTGCCATAGTCTTACAAAATTGTTCCCCAGAACTATCTTCAATTCTCTCTAAATTATTTAACAAGTGCTTGACTGAGTCTTGTTTTGCATCTGTTGTTCCGATTTTTAAAAATTGGAGAACATTCTGACCCCTCCAATTATAAACCAATTAGTCTTTTCTGTTATTAGCAAGGTCTTTGAGTCTTTGATTAACAAATTTCTCACATCCCATTTTGAGTCAAATAACATTCTGTCAGACAATCAATACAGTTTTCGATCCTCGCGCTCTACGACTGACTTGCTAACTGCTGTGACTGAAAGATTTTATCGTGCATTAGATGGAGGCAATAAGGCTAGGGCTATTGCTCTTGACATAACTAAAGCATTTGACAAAGTTTGGCATGCTGGCTTTCTCCATAAGCTTGCTTCATATGGTGTATCTGAAAAAGTTTTTGACATAACCAAATCTTTTCTTTCTAACCGCTTTAATAAAGTCATCCTCGACGGTCGAAATACTCTTCTTCATTTCCAGTAACTTCTGGGATACCTCAAGGTTCTATCCTTGATCCTATTTTATGTCTACATTAACAATTTTCCCAACAATCTTACATCTAAAGTAGCTCTCTTTACTGATGACTCAACTTTATGCTTCTGTCTTAAGTATTCTTTTTTCAAATGCTTAGAATAAGGAGGCAATCATGAATCTGATCTCACTTCTGTAATAGATTGGGACTTGCAGTTGCTTGTAAGTTTTAACTCCAACAAAACTCAGTTATTTACTGCAAACCACTATCAAAATACTGTTGACATTCCTATATTAATGAATGGCAACCCTCTCACTGAGTATTCTTGGATTATTGTTTACTACTGACCTTTCATGGAAACTATATATACAATCAATTGCTAAATTATCATCTGCTAAGATTGCATCTCTTTATTGTGCTCGCCATTTTCTCAATGCTGATTTCATTCTCTACCTCTATAAATCTCTTATTAGCTCTCTTGCCTTCATGTTTTATTGACTCATACATCCTACAACTTTTCAAGTCTTCTGTCAACCGTTTTCTTGATCTATAACTCAGGCTTGGTCAGAAAGGCATGCGATCACACGCCATTTTATGACCACGCTAAAATTTAACAATTTAACTTTAATCCTTACTAATGTTTTTATATTATTAAAACTCTTTTAAATAAAGTAACAATTCACTGCTAATGATTTTCTTACATTGAAGTATTAATGTATTTTTCTTTCGTTTTTAAATAAAAAAATTATCGATTAAAGTTAATATACTCAAAATGTAACTAATTTTTTTTGCAAGAATGCAAAATGAAAAAAATATATAAATATAATTTTATTTTTATAATTTTTATGATTTTTTTTCTTTAGTCTTAAAAAAAAAAAAAAAATTAAATTATTAACAAATTAAATCAAATTATAAATTAAAGGAATAGTTTTGTTCATCTTCACTTTTACTCGTTTGCTTTCTGATATTTTTTTCTGACAAAAGAAAAGATTTAATTATTTTTCTTTTGTTTACCTTACTACAAAGAATCGTAAAGTTTGTTTTGTTGTTGTTATCTTTTAAATGTGCGTATTTATTAAAAAATCGTTGGAAGTTGTTACTTTGTTTAAAAGGGTTTTGCTATGTCTAATAATAAAGAAAAAAAATTTTATTTTTGTTCATAAGTCAGTTGTCATTTTTGTGAAATGCGTCCCCTCCCCCCCTCCTTAAAAAAAAAAGAAAAGCATCATTAAAAAAATGTCCTTGTTAAGTTAGATCGTTTTTTTAAAAAATACCACTAATGCGCAATTAAGTTTTTTATAAAAACAAAAGTGTTTATTTGTTTAAAAGCGTTACATTTTTTTGTCGATTAGTACTATTTATTTATTTATTTTTTAATATTAATATAATTTTATATGGTTTTGTTATTATTACTTTTTTTTTTGTTCAAGTTATTTATTAATAAGCTATTTTTATTCTATTTTTTATTATTTTTTTAAGAAGATTTTATTTCTTTTTTTTAAATAAGTTTGTTTTTTTAATTTCTTTATAACAAAGTTAAGTTTTCAGCACTTTATTAAAATGTTAAAACTGTGGTCAAATCATCAAAACAAAATATTATTTGCATGGTCATATAAAGCCGTGAAATCGCACGCCTTCCTGACCAAGCCTGATAACTCAATTTTTTTTTCTAGTAACTCTTAATAGTGGTTGCTTGCAGTCTTGTTGGGAGTGAATCAGAATAAAATAAAATAAAAAAAATTTAATAGAAAAAAAAATGCATTTTATATTTTATAAAATTGCAGATATCATATATTCTATACAATGCCCACATTTATTATTAAAATTAATAATTTATAAAACAAACATGTATGAATATACAAGATTAAGGAAGTCATAGTATAAAACAAGTTTTTAG